CAAGTAAATAATGTCAAATTTAGCATTCAGACAGGAACTAACAATATTTTTACTTAAGTATCATAAAGCAAGAAAGCGATCAAAGAAACATAGTGAGAAATATAGAGGTCACTTGGATAAACATAATAGTTATTAATCACATAGGTGGCTGGGGCTTTCTGTTCTTTTTGCAGCAATAGGTGCTATTTTACTATTTCTGATTTGCACTTTGTATATTCATATAAACTCAAGCAAAATTTTCTTGGATCTTTGGCCACAAGGATCATTATGATATCTAGAGCAAGTACATACATAGCATATCAAGGTGAACTTTAAAAAAATATAAGAGTGGGCACCTTTGGGCAAATGAGTTATCAAAGATAAGCATGACAGACTTTTCCTCTATGGAAAAAATTCCTGAGCGTTTATTTGTAGAAAAATTCCAAGCAGAGTAATTTATATCCCAGCCATGGGAAAGACTATTAAAAGTAATTTGTTGACCCTATCTTAGAAACTGGTATAATTTTTAAATGAGAAAATTACAATGTATTAAAAATATGGTGACATCAGGCAAAAAGTGTTTTTGCAAAATCTTTCTTTCCAAATCTTTTTCTTTTTAATGTTTCAGAACATTTCAAATGTTTGATACAGTAAACATCCCAGGAACTGTTTGTAAACACTTGATGCGAAGTAACAATTTTTCTATCACATGCTCTCTCTGCCTTAATTTGCAGTGTTGCATTAAATGGAATTCCCCTCACTTAATTGGGGTTTTTTTAATCAGCAGATTTAGCAAATTTCAAGTTAGCTTTTCTGCTTGGATAAATTAAAAATAGATTATAGAATATTGATATCTTTTCTACAGAAGTTGAGCCCTCCTTACCTGCCTAGGCTGAATTTAAGATCCAATATTAAATATATATCTGTTATATATGTTATATATCAGCATGCGTCTTTCATGCACATCACCAGGTTGTTTTCCTCAAAAATTATGTAAATAAAAGGCATAACTGACAAAAACACATAAACAGATTCATAATTACACATCACAAATGACATAATACACAGTCATATTGCAGGTAAAGGCTTGGAAGCAGACCCCTTTCCTCTCCCCATAGATGACATATAGGTTTGGTGGGGGGAGCACAACTCTGGGCTGCCATCACCACTCCTGCTGCTGCTGGGTGATGGCTCCAGTTTGGCTTCAGCCCCGTGCCCAAAAGTGCATGGAGCTGCAGAAGTGCAGAAATCTTGGCAGGGCACATGCCCCCCATGCCCTCTTCACACATTGCCTATGCCTTTTCCATATGTACATTTTGGGCTAAATTTCATTCTGATTTTCACTCATGTGTCTATCAATAAAGAGAAGCTGCTCTACAATAGCAAAAGTGACAAATGTTGGTCTATAGGTATATGTTCCACTTTTCAGTTTTCACACTATCTGAGGAAGCAAGCCCTCTGTTCTTCAAAGCTTAGGTTACACATCTCTTAATTTGGTTAGTCTATAAGGCGTAAATCTATCCTGCATTCTGCCAGTTCACACTTGCATAGATAAATGGTGAAACCCACCTTCAATGGGTTCCTTTGCCAGTACTGGCCTGAGCAAATATAGGCATGTTACCTCCATTCAGCAAGCACTGCCCTGAAAATAGAAAAGATCCTGTGCAGATAGTTTTTTCCTTTTCCATGTTGGAAGACAGTTTCACAGCACCAAGAATTTTTTTTCCCCTTAACCCCTACAGCCAACTTGTAACATAATGGCTGGTTACTATATATTTGATAGCACCACCAACAAATGCAGTGTTTCCAAGAGTTACCAGTGTACTTTAATCTACAATTTTATTTCATAGAATCATAGAAAATTGGGGTTGGAAGGGACCTCAGGAGGTCATCTAGTCCAACCGCCTGCTCAAAGCAATAACATCCCCAATTAGATCATCCCACCCAAGGCTTTGTCTAGCCGGAGTTTTAAAAACCACCAAGGACAGAGATTCCACAACCTCTCTGGGTAACCTGTTCTAGTGTTTTACTACCCTCCTCATGAGAAAGCTTTTCCTAATATCTAACATAAACTTCCCTTGTTGCAGCTTGAGACCATTGCTCCTTCTTCCGTCCCCTGCCACCACTGAGAACAGTCTCACTCCATTTCCTCATGTATTTGCAGTTTGGAGAAAATTCAAATGTTTATCAATGCCATTATAGTAGTAATTTTTTTAATGTAGTAAAATATAGACTGCATACTGAGAAGTAATCAAGTGCCTAATTACTGGGGCTGACAGAGGTGTGTGTGTGTGTGTGTGTGTGTGTGTGTGTGTGTGTGTGTGTGTGTGTGAATAAAAACACACTTTACCGGAAGCAGCAGAGCATTACTTCAACCCAGCTCTGCAGCATCTGTGTAGATTGGGAGCTTCATTCAGCAGGGCTTTTTGGCACTTTGAGCTAAAGCTGATTCAATAGGCTAAAGATGATTCAATCAGCTATTAGATAAAGGCCACATCTACATGAGATGCTGACTACGCAGTCATTAATGCGCAGTCATTTTGTACCTGTATAAACAAGTACTAAATGACTGTGCAGTAACCCAAGTTACTGCACAATAGCACAGATGAACATCTTTTTTCTGACACTACTGCACATCAGCTTAATACTACTGTGCAGTAGCATCATATCACAGTTGTTGCCATGCAACACTACTGTGCAGTAGTATTGCGCTACTGCACAGTCAACATTTCATGTAGACATGGCCAAAAGCACCAAAAAAGTAACCAATCTATACAGATGTTTCATAGTTTCATAGTTTTAGGGTCGGAAGGGACCTAATAGATCTTCTAGCCCGACCCCCCGCCAGGGCGGGAGAACAACAAAAGAACCCTAAACAAAAAACGGGACTCAAATGAGTCCAGCCAGGTAGGTATCCAGCCTCTTCTTAAAGATCCCCAGGGTAGGGGCCAGCACCACCTCCCTTGGAAGTTGGTTCCAGCTCCTAGCCGCCCTAACTGTGAAGTAGTTTTTTCGGATGTCCAATCTGTACCTCCTCTCCATCAACTTGTGCCCATTACTCCTTGTTATGCCAGCGGGGGCTAGGGGAAACAGCGTCTCCCCCAAACCCTTCTGGTTCCCCCTAGTGAGTTTATAGACGGTCACCAGGTCCCCCCTCAGCCTTCTCTTGTGGAGGCTGAATAGGTTCAAGTCCCGCAGTCTCTCACTGTAGGGTCTGCCCTGTTGTCCCCGGATCATGCGGGTGGCCCTCCTCTGGACCCTCTCCATGTTGTCCACATCCCTCCTGAAATGGGGCGCACAGAACTGGACACAATACTCCAGCTGCGGCCTGACCAGCGTCGCATAGAGGGGGAGGATCACCTCCCTGGCTCTACTCGAGATGCACCTGTGGATGCACGACAAGGTCCGGTTAGCCCTGCCAACCATGACCTCGCATTGTCGGCCCATGTTCATCTTGGAGTCAATAATGACACCAAGATCCCTTTCCGCCTCCGTGCTCTCAAGTAGGGAGCTCCCCATCGTATAAGTGTGCTGCTGGTTCCTACTACCCAAGTGCAGCACCCTGCACTTGTCCGTATTGAAACACATCCTGTTCCTGTTTGCCCACCCCTGTAACCTATCCAGATCCTTCTGCAATCTCTCTCTCCCTGCTAGCGTGCTCACCTCCCCCCAAATTTTGGTGTCATCAGCGAATTTAAACAGGTTGCTTTCCACCCCAACATCAAGATCGCTGATGAAGAAATTGAACAGCGCAGGCCCCAGGACCGAGCCCTGGGGGACTCCACTACCCACCTCCCCCCAAGTCGAGTATGATCTATCCACCACCACCCTCTGAGTGCGACCCTTCAGCCAATCTGCAATCCATCTGACTGTGTAGGCATCTATGCCACAGTCGCCTAGTTTATTAATTAGGATGGGGTGAGAGACGGTGTCAAAGGCCTTGCTGAAGTCCAGAAAGACTACATCCACCGCGACACCTGCGTCCATGGCCTTTGTGACCTGATCATAAAAGGCAATCAGGTTGGTCTGACATGATCTCCCCCTAATAAATCCATGCTGATTGCCCCTGAGCATCATTTCTGATGCCGGCCCATCACAAATGTGCTCCTTGATGATCTTCTCAAAGAGTTTCCCCAGGATTGAGGTAAGACTGACGGGCCTATAGTTGCCCGGGTCCTCCCTTTTCCCTTTCTTGAAGATGGGGACCACATTAGCTACCTTCCAATCGTCTGGCACCTGGCCCAAGCACCACGATCGCTCGTAGAGCCGTGCCAGGGACCCTGCAATAACCCCAGCTAGCTCCCTCAGCACCCTGGGGTGGAGAGCATCCGGACCCGCTGACTTGAACGCGTCCAGCCCCTCCAGAAGCTCTCTAACCCGGTCCTCCCCAACCTGAGGTCTGAAGGCGATCCCCTCGCGTCCGGCTTCTATCACAGCAGGGCAGTCCCGGTCCCTGCACAAGAAAACGGGAAAATGTTGGGAAAGCCAGGTGCAATTAATGCGCTGCAGCTTCTGGGTATGCACTGGGCTCAGCACAGGAGTGCAAAGAGTTTAAAGTAAAACGTGTTACATGTGTAACAGATCACCTGTCTTCAGTGATTCAAGCACACACTTACATGTGACAGTAATAAACCAGAAGTGTCTATTTTCATGCTTTCAGACTTCAAATGATAACATATCTTCCTGATTAAACTTTCCAAAATATTCATCTTTGTGACAAAATCAAGCATGCAAAAGATGAACATACTGGTAAGCCTTAAGCCTGTGAGCCAAACATCTTCCACTTTAATTGGTTTCTGTATGGCTGTTAATTTAAAGTGCATTTATAATGAGTTGCTCTTCTATAGTCTTAGGCAAAATTTAGGATCTTGCTCCTCTCCTATTGCTTCCAGTTGGAGCAGAATTCAAGATACATTTGATATTACACTAGAGTTTCTCTTGAAAATGATATATATTGTATAATGACCAAGGACGTCTTCTGATTACTGACCATTACTATTTAGACATTTTAATGTACTTACAGAAGGACTCATCCCTGGCAAGGCAGTGGAAACGGTGGCAGACCTGGGCAACCTGAGAAAGCTCTTTCTGGGACAAAAATGAGAAGATGCACAGCCACAGTTCATCAGGAAGAAGCTGCCACATTGAGAGGTTGCTGTCACTGTCTGTATCCTGTGAGCAAATCAAAGTGACATGCAACTGCAAGGAATGACAAAACGCTAAATCCTGTCCAAGCCAAACAGCAAAATAAATATACTAAATTCAGATCCTGAAGAGAAGCACATTGTCTCTGTTTCACTGAAAAGCAGAATGAAAAAGAGACTTAATATCTCCTCCATTTTTTATGCAAGAGAACAAAGCCATTAATTTTAAGGCACTGGATTTTGATTTAACAGACCACAAAATTTGGGATATAGCCTGCTTATCTGACATTCTGATCAGTTGCCTCCTTACTATCAAAATTCCCTCGTTCAAGTACAACTCTTAAAATAAAACAAATTCCAGAACTAGCACATTTTGGTTCGACCTATCTCTTCCTCTCTTTCTCTTCCAAACTGGAAACTCACCCAGGAGCACAGTGTAGCCACTTCAAGGAACAAAATAATCATTGGTCCCACGGCCTGGATGACAACCGTGGGATTGATCTGCAGTCTGGATCAGGGAGCCAGCATGAAGGGCCAGTCTGTGAGTGAGTACGTCCTTTGTTCAAGTGCGGGGAATCTTCTGAACCCAGTAGTTCATTCTAAGACAACACCCCAGACCGACCCCTTGTGCAGTGCCCACAGCACAAGAACCAGGCTGCATGCCAGGCTGGCTCTATGCTCCGCATGAGGCATGTGGGGCAGTTGGAAACCCATGGGATGAATCATAGGATCCGGCCCAGGGGCTATATGTTTGACATCCCTGCACAACACAAAAATTCTCCATAGTACCACAGCCTTCCTCAGTTTTCAGGCCTACATGAGTCCTGACGCACAGTGTTTTTGGCTTAGGAATGTGCTAGACTATACCATGCTAAATTTGTTTTCAAAAAATCCCACAAGATTAAACTAAATGGGTTTGATTCTCCATTTCTTCTACAAATTTCATATTATGAATGCCAACAAGGAAAACATAACCTTTTGAAATCAAACTAAAAAGGAGAGCCTTTTCATTACTGATCAAATTATTAGTTTAAAAAATAATTCCATACATTTCTCATTTTATATTAAACGGGCATGCCTAAAATATAGCTATACAAAGGTTCTTTTGCTATACACCTAGAAATGCATCATTAATATAAATAGTTGTTACAATCAGAAAATTAAGAAATTCTACTTAAAAAATTAAAATCATTAAACCTTTATTAAAACTCTACATATAAACAGAAAAGTTTGTTTTGATTTATTTGGCTCATAGTTACTAAGGTGGCAATCCAGAAAATAGAATAGTTTCAATGTACAAGAGACTGATCATGTTTCACATTTTCATAGTACCAAAGTGTCTGGGGTATCATTAAGTAGTCTGTGTGTCTACTTACCCAATGCAAAGCTCCCTCAGAATCTTGAAGTGTACTCTTACAAGGTTTTTTGTAGTTTGTCCCTGGAGGAAGGACAGATTATTTTGGTATTCTAGAAATATGTGAAAGGTGACTGGCCTTGTAATAGACAGAAATACAAGCAAAACTGATATATCAATTTGGCCAAACTATAAACCACTCATATCAGAGATACTGAATGAAAAAGATACATCAGGGCATCTTTTCAGGGCAGGATTTTTTTATCCCAATAGCTTTTTAATGTAAATTAATAGCTATATGAAATAATGTATTTAGTAGCTCTAGGTATCAGTGTCTTGCTAATAAAGCTAAATTTTTGAGAGCTAGCTTCTTTCTTTAGGGCTGGAAATAGTTAACATAAGTATCTTCAGGCACAGTTTGGGGATTTCATTATTTGTGCGTCTAATTATTTGGTCACAATCTCTGCCATATTGATGTCTAAGTACTTGGTTTGCAAGTGAAATCAGATATATACACACCCAAAGAATCTACAAACAGGCACCTATAGCTACCACGACAATTTTATAGGTGACAATAAGAGACAAATGAAGGCCAGAAAGAAAATGTGGGTACCAACTGTCTAAACAAACTGAATTCAAGCTCACTTCAAGCTAGCTTGAAAAAAAACCCTAGAAAATACAATGCAGAGGACAATTCTACATTAGCAAGAAATTGGATTGCATTGTTTCAATAGGTTTTCCCCATATTTAATATCTCAGATACTACCCACGCACTTGGCAGCTATCAATTCAAATTCTGTCTTGGTCAATGATAAAATTAGTAATTGAATCATTCATTTTTTTCTTATCACTACATTTGCTAACAGATCAACTGTGTTAGCCTACATGTTTAAAAAAAAAAAATCAAACTTGGTAATCCGGAGGGAAGACACTAAAATAAAAGCAGAAATAAATGTAGGCTGTTGTGCACTAATATGACACACTGAGGGTGAAGTTACATGTTACACTTAGACCATACTAAATCTGTGGAATTTTAAGTGGTGTTAAAGATAGGACTTGCTGTGAGCAGTCACACATTAAGGGTTAATACTGTTTCTTGCCTGCACAGCTCTGAGTTGTCACTAGAGGGCTGGCAAGCAGGGGTGTGGCTGCTGGGCTCTATCCCTGCCCTGGGGGGCAGAAAGAAGGGGTTGTCCATCGGGATATGTGCTGGTACACACATTTAAGTTGGATCAGGCATGAGTTAGCTCAACCTACGCAGCTCACATCCTAGGTGTAAAGATCCACACATGGGTGAACTAAGTTAGATCAGGCAGCTATATTTTGCCCCATCTAACCTCCTGCACTTGTGTACAGTTCAGCACTTAGGTCAATCTAACCCTAGTTAGATCAATCTAATCTTATTTAGATCAACCTAAGTGTAGTGTCTGTAAATACTAAACAATTTTACACAGGAAACTAAGGTATTTAAGATCTGAACTATTTAACTGTGTTTCTTCAAACAGCAGGGCATAATCATATTCAACTCATTAACCTGGAAAAGCTTCTACTCATTTTCATTTCATCATGGCTACTTCCATTTGTAAGGAATCCTTGTCTTACCATAATATATAAATAGACTTGGCTGCCTTGGATTCTCTTCCATTTCTTGTTCTGATAAATACTAATATAGCCTTGAGCTTGATTCAGTTCCCAAATAAAAAGATTCTGTTTCAGTGGGCATTGGATCATACTCTTTGGACCATACTGAGCCTTGCAATAACAACCCCTGGCACTAGTTTTCATTCAAAAACATGCAGATATTACACCAAGCAAAGGAAAACCAAGAAAATAATATGCTTAGAAACTGGAGGGAAAGGAGTTAAGTATTTTTTTATCTTTCTGTTTCACTCAACAACTGTCTTAATTTAAGTTATCTGCTAATTCTCTAGGATGTGCTGTTTCAGTTCATTGGTGTTTTGAGTTACTATTTCTTTTACTGTTTCTTCTTTAAGTATAAGTTTCTCTTGACTATCATCAACTGTAGATCCTGGGGGAGTAGCCACATTAGAAGGATGCAGGAGCAAGAAGGTAAATTGGAAGAAAGATCAAAGCTAGTTAATGAAAACATATTAACTATGCAAAAGCAAAATTAGGCAAAATAATTTACTCATAATCTCTGTGAATGCCCAAATAAACAATTTATAGATTGTACATGCAAACGCACAGGTACATGCACGTGCAGACACACAAACAAATAGACAATTTTTACTTACATGCATTAATAGTCTTTACAAAAGTTACTGTTGTGGCTTGATTAGATGGTTTGTGCTGTGATTTTTCAGGCTGTGGGGAAGGATGTGTCTTTGTCTGTCGGTATCTGATAAAGCCTTCTTAAAAGAAAAGGAAGTTTCACAGTATCATTAAACCTTGAGACAGTAATTAACTATTAGATCATCAAATCCAACACTTAGTATTCTGTATTTCACCAAGGTAGCTGGAATTAATGGAACCTGGGCAAAATTGTTTGGTAGAATCCCTTACTTCCAAATGTTAGAATGTATGTTTCTCAGTTGTGTTAAGTTCAGCAAGGTAATAAAATGCACTTAAGAGAAAGAAATGGCAGTCTCCATAAATGTCCATAATAAGAAATCATTTCTCTTTACTGGAAAAACAATCATTTAAGCTGTTTAATTAAAATGTAAAAACTAGAAATATATTTTGTAGGCCTGTGCAAAGTGGCTAGCATTCATTTCAGATTTGGATTTGGCCATTTCAGGGAACAGTGATTCGATTTGGTGTCCCAAATCAATTCAGCTGAATCTGATTTGGACATTTGGCTGCAGCTGAATCAGCCGAATCTCTGAATTACACAGGCCCCATCCCCTGCCGACTCTCCCAGCCCTGGCAATGGCTGCCCTGCCCGGCCCCAGCTCCCAACTCTTTGGAAAAAAAAGCCTGAACTCACTGGCTCCTGCCTGGCGGGAGGCAATCCCTGCTGCCCCCCACTGCCCTACGCTGCATGGGGGGGCTCTGCCATGAGTGCCCCAACCCCTGCCTGCTCTCCCAGCCCCCCCCATGGCTGTCCTGCCCACCCCAGCTCCGGCCCTTTAAAAAAAAAAAAGCCCTGCCTCACCAGCTCCTGCCAGGCGGGGGCAATCCCCACTGCCCCTCACTGTCTCGCACTGCATGGGGGGCTCTGCATGAGTCACCTTAGCCCCAAGGCTTCTGCAGCAGCCTGTGTGTGTGGGGGGGGTTTTGTTTTTTTTTCTTAAAGGGCCAGAGCTGGGGCAGAAAGGGCCGGGAGTTGGGGCAGGCGGGGCAGCCATGGGGGACCTGGGGCCTGGTGGGGGTCCCCCCATGGTCCCCTCCCTACTCCTCCAGCCTCCCCTCCCCCGTCCCCTACTAGCCAGCTTGGATTCCAGGTCCAGCTTCCTACTGCAGCAGGCAGGGACTGCCCAAAGCTCTCCAAATCTTTTCTGAATCGATTCAGAGAGCTTTGAATCAATTCAGACCTTCTAATTGGTCCCCTGATTCAATTTGGATTCAGAGATTCGGCCACTGAATCAGGCCAAATCTCTTCCAAATCAAATCAGCACCCAAAGCTTCACACAGCCCTAATATTTTGGCCCTTTATAATTCCACATGCTATATCAGACCAGATTAAAATTTAGTTTCTGAGTCTAGGGCCCCTAGCATGTTATATTTAAACCGTGATTAACCAGTTAATTATATCATTAGTTACCAAGCCATACATTCATGCAATAGCATGATAAAACAATGAAAAAGCTATACAGTTATTACATAAGAAATGTGTACTAACTTTACGGCTGGTTCCTATCACACCATTAATGGAACATGTGACCAGGTTTAGGACTCCCTGCCTTCAGAGCACATGGGAGGCCTTGACTCCTATGCACTCCAAAGGCTGAGAGTTACAATCAGCTGATTGCCACTCCTAGCCTTGGGACCACATCAGAATCAAGGGCTCCAATGTGGCCCTGAAGCTTGGGAGCCCCAATCTGCCTCTGTTCCAAGCCACAAGGGTTCATTAGAACCCTTGACTTCAATACACCTGCTCAGCTGAGAGCAATGGCAGGTGGGAGCTCCCAGCCTTCAGTGGCACATGGTGTAACCCACATTTGGGAGCCCAGATCATCTAATGGCTCCCAGCCTCAGGGGCACATGGCACACCCCCACAGCCCCATTAGCTGATTGGAGCTTCCAGCCATGGGCACTTGCTACTTGCTGGTGCAGCCCAGAATTAGGATTCCAGGCTCCCCCTGCACTGGAAATAAGGTGTGATGGAATCTGATGTTTGATCCCAGAACCAGGCCTCCTGCCATGAACGTATGGCATGGCAGAAAGCATGATTGTGAGGATCAAGTATAAGATCTCATCATGTCTTTAGCTGCATGTCTGCCAGGGGCCTATATATATATATATATATATATGTGTGTGTGTGTGTATATATATATTACATATACAAACACACACACTATGGAACATTACAGGGCATACATGCAGCAAAGAGAAAGTTACAGTATTTCATATAAAAATAGTAATTTGTCATGTTATAAACATATCTTCCCTATTGAATCTACACTATATTTAGTGGGTGCAGCTACACAAGACATTTACTGCCCAGTAGATTAATTAGCTGCACAGTAAATGTCTCGCATCTACATGTGTGCCCCTATTAGGCTGGAGTAAATTAATTTACTCTACAGGTAAATTGCAGAATAAAAAATTCTGCAGCAGTACATGTGCAGACACTGCCCTGGCCAGCTAGAGTATGAGGGTGTTTCAGTGCCAGGGTTGACTGGCAGCTAGGTCCACACTGGAGCACCCTTGTGCCCCAGCCAGTCCCTCTTCAACACACTGAGACAAGGAAAGCCAGCTGGAGCTGCTCCACCCCAGTTCAATGTGCTTCACATGGGCACATGTAAAGACGTATGCCCAGGAGCAATAAGCTCCCAGGCAATAAGCTCCAGAGTTTATTCACATGCATTAATATGCATGTGTAGACATGCTCACTACTTTATTTGCTACTTGTTGATTAAGTACCTGAAAGTTGAATACTCTGAGACAAATCACTGACCCTCTTCTTGCCCACACCAGCTGAAACGGGTCTTTGTATACAATGTGAACTACAGCAGACAAAAAAATTGTTAAGTTAGGATATTTCTTTGCCCACAGTTAGGATCTAATAATACGCTATTCAAGTACATGGATTAACATGCATAGTATATAGGTTTGCCGTTAAAGCAGCCAGGAACTTAAATGCAGAAATGCAAGTGAAATACAAGTACTGTTTTACTAAAATATATTTAAAAATGTAATACACAACATAGGGTTGAGACAATAGCCACTTGTTAAATAAATATGATGGAAAATGGGGTCCTGGTGATAATTCTGAAGATGAATGAATCCAATCAAGAGCTTGATAATCAGACACTTAAACCAAAAATGAAACAACGTATAAGAGCTTACTTTAGCATGAAATGGACAGTGAAGGCTGAGAGGTTGATACATGTTCACAACTCTCATAAGTAATCATAGAAGTTAGGGCTGGAAGGGACTCCAGGAGGTCATCCAATCCAAACCCTGCTCAAGCAGGACCGTCTCCAACTACATCATCCCAGCCAAAGCTTTGTCTAGCCAGGTTCTGAAAACCTCCAAGGATAGAGCTTCCACCATCTCTCTGGGTAACCTGTTCCAGTGTTTTACAACCCTCCTAGTGAGAAAATTCTTTCTAATATCTAACCTAAACTTCCCTTGCTGCAATTTGAGACTGTTGCCCTTGTTCTCTCATCTGCCACCACTGAGAACAGTCTAGTTCCATCCTCTTTTGAACCCCACTTCAAGTAATTGAAAGCTGCTATTAAGACCCTCAGTCTCTTCTTCTGTACACTAAATAAGCCCAGTTCCTTCAGTCTTTCCTCATAGTCATGTCCCCCAGCTCCCTCACCATTTTCGTCACCCTCTGCTGGACTCTCTCCAATTTGTCCACATCCTTTCTGTAGCAGGGGGCCTAAAACTGGACACAGTACTCCCATGGCAACACACCTACCAATGCAGCTCAGTATGCTGTTAGCCTTCTTTGCAACAAGGCCACAGTATTGGCTCATATTCAGCTTATTGTCCACTGTAACCCCCAGGTCCTTTTCTGCAGAGCTGCTGCCCAGCCAGTCAGCCCCCAGCCTGTACTGGTGCATGGGATCTTCCCATCCTAAGTGCAGGACTTTGCACTTCTCCTTGTTGAACCTCATGAGATTACTTTTGGCCCAATCCTCCAATTTGCCTATGTCACTCTGAATCCTAGCCCTCCCCTCCTACATATCTACTCCCCCCAGCTTGGTGTCATCTGCAAACTTCCTGCAGGTATACTCCATCCCATCTTCCAAGTCATTGGACAAAGATGTTGAACAAAACCAGCCTCAGGACTGGTTACTACCCTTTGAGCCCAACAATCCAGCCAGTTTTATATCTAACTGACAGACCATTCATCCAACCCACACTTCCTTAGCTTGCCTGCATGTATGTTGTGGGAAACCGTATCAAAAGCCTTGCGAAAATCAAGGTATACCACATCCATCGGTCTCCCTGCATCCACAGAGCCAGCCATCTCTTCATAGCAGGCAATCAGGTTGGCCAGGCACAACTTGCCCTTGGTGAATCCATGCTGATTGTTCCTAATCACCTTTTACTCCTCCAAGTGCTTAGAAATCGACTCCTTGAGGATCTTCTTCATGATTTTTCGTGGGACTGAGGCTGCTCACCTCCTCCCCAAACTGTGCTGCCCAGTACAGTAGTCTGGGAACTGACCTTGCCTGTGAAGACTGAGGCAAAAACAGCATTGAGCACTTCAACCTTTTCTGCATTGTCTGTGATAAGTTTACCTCCCCCATTCAGTAAGGGACCCACACTTTCCCTGATCTTACTCTTGCTACCGACATACTTGTGGAAACTGTTCTTGTTCCCCTTCACATCCCTTGCTAGCTGCAACTCCAGTCGTGCCTTGGTCTTCCTGACTTCATGCCCGAGCAATACTTTTATACTCCTCCCTAGTTGTTGTCCAAGTTTCCACTTCTTATAACCTTCTTTTATGTGATTTAATTTGCTAAAGTTTTCCCTGCTAAGCCAAGCTGGTCTTCTGCCATACTTGTTAGTCTTCCTGCACACTGGGATGGTTTGTTCCTGCACTCTCAGTAAGGCTTCTTTAAAGTACAGCCAGCTCTCCTGGACTCCTCTCCCCACTCAGACTCGGTAATGAAAGTAAAGATTTGAGATTTTAAAGAGCAAGTTAATATACGTCTATGGAATTGCACTATGAGCGCTAAAAGAACTTGTTGAATCTTAATTCTTTTACTGTTAGAATTAATGATTATTGAAAAACTTAATAACAAATTGGAAAGAAATACAGAGACATGGTATAAAGTTGTTTTGAAAGCAATAATGTTTATTTAAAAATATATTAGAGAGTAGTATACACATTTTAAATAAAGCACTTCATACACTCTCCTGTGATAGTACACATAACGGTCATGCACTTTGTCTCTGATAAAGAGAAAAATTGCATGGACTGAAAACTGACTAAAGAAATGAAAACAAAGAGTAAAAGTAAGTAGCAGCTTACTGAATATAGGGAGGTATCTGTTGGAACACAGCAAGGAATTAACCCACAAAAAGAAGTAAACTACAGAAACACAAGACTGGAAGAGACCACCTGTATCATTAAGTCCTGTTCCCTGCTGTAGACAACCACATCACATCATATCTTGCATAAAATTAACTGCATAAATTCTCTCATATGAGAATAAAAAGTATTGCAAGATTTTAAACTGTTTCAAATGAGTTTGTGGACAAAGGATTAAAAAAAGTCTCCTTTCACACAGATTTTGAATAAAAATTACTAGATCTCTGCTTAAGAAGCCTTCCCCCAGACTTGTAATAAAGAAGCCCAGTTCAATATCCTGTCATCCAAACTCTGTGTTTGCATTTGATCTGTCTCACACCTCAAGTGCATGATGCACTACTCATTAATGATGTTTGATGTATTAAGATGGGGATAATTTCACATAATTGTGACATTTCCTTTTCTTTCATCCAAAAATACTGAATGGTAGAAAACAGCAAGAAGCCAGATGGCTTACCTTTTGCTTACTGACAAGCAAAGCTATGCTTAAAATTTGCAACAGTGCCACAAGCTCTGCTTGTGTTTGGCTTTCACTGCAAGTAGTTTGCATATATTTATGTACATTTTCCTGGTATAGTCTTACCTTAATTTCTTTCTCATACACAATAGTTTGTTCATGAGCAGGGATCCAGGTTTTCCATTTCACGTGGAAAAATGCAGATTTTCCCCTTTAAAGGAGAGAAACCTGGGAAACCGTGCATTTCCCCTAGCAGGTTGGCAGAGCCCCAGCCTAGAAGGGCCTGCTTGGATCTGGGAGAAGTGGGAGGAGGTTGATCAGAGACAGGGGGCCGCATGCATGTACATGCGTACACATGCACATGGCCAGCAGTGCAGCCAGGCAGAGAGATGGAGAGCAGTTCCTACAGTTCCCTACAGGTAAATCTTTTTTGTTTTTTGTTGTTTTGGGGGGGGGGGTATATGCAATTTG